TCCCAGAGTCCTTGAAGTCATAAGCTAAAGTAGTAACTGCCCAAGAGAAAAATGGGAAAATATCACTGTAGCATTTTATAGGAAGCTGCAGCTTTAGGCTCTTCATAGCTGAGAAGGAATCACTCCATTCAGAACAGTGTGGCAATGGCAAAGGAGGACACAAAAGAAAGGCACTATGTGGAGATCTCATGGAGTAAGTAAAAGAAATAAGGTAGAAGCCATCCCCTTTCTCGACAGCACTGCCTGAAATGGCCACTCAGACAGCACATCTCACCCTAAGTATTCCCTCTGCAGAGCCGGGAAAACATTTATGTCCCCACTTTGTTCAGAAGCATTGACACTTCTGAAACAGCAAAGCCAAAAAATAACCAAACAACCAAAAAGCCACAATGGGCAAAGAGCTGCTGTGCAGGGGCAGATGGATCTCTGCTGGTGCAATAGCACAGAGCAGCAACCAAACCAAATAAAATCAGCTGCAGTGGTATTGCTGGGGTGCAGAGAGGTGAAGTTATTTCTTCAGCATGACTTGGGCAGCCCCACAGATCCTGTTCCCAGCCAGGATTAGATCACACAGCCCCTCCAGAAAGTCTGGCACACAGAGCAAATATTTCCTAGCTTACAATAACACACAATCTTACACGGTTCTCTGTCTCTGAAGTGAGGGGGATGAACAAACACTGAATTGTTTGAATAACATTGGTGAATCCAGATTTCAGTTAGAGGGAATTCATGTTAGTCCAATTAAATAGTATGTCAATTCCCTCTAATTATCTGTTCCTGCAGCCCACCCGGTAATTACACTTAATGAGTCTAAATCAAATCAGCATGTTACCTGGGAAATAATTGGATTTATGTGCAATTTTTTAATGATCCTGAAAGGTACCCTGGAGATTTAATTCCCCTGTGTGTTCAGGGTTTGATCCTAGGCTTCAATGCACTTTGGATGCGGATCTCAGGATACATTGGCCCTGATAAATTGGATGTGCCCATTCCCTGGCCCTGAGGCCCACTGTTGTGGGATCACCATTCTCATCAACTTTTTTAGCTTCTAAAACAAGGTGCCCATACCCAGACTTCCCACTGGAAACCATCTCTGGCCAGTGCTAAATTCCAAAATACACCTCCACCAGGAGAGAACAATTCCAGATTTCAGTGCTGCAGCAGCACATGCCCACCCTGAGTTGCAGGGAGCCTGCAAGGGCTCTGCTGAGGCTGTGGACAGCAGGAGGAATTGCAGAAGCACCTCTAAGGGAAGAAGCACAAGCTGTGCTCTGCTGAGACCTGTACTGTGCCTCTGACCATCCCCCCAAAGGATGGCACACATTAGAAACTAAGGCACACATGGTATAGAAAAATAAAATAAACCATAGAATCATTGAGGTTGGAAGAGACCAAGATTATCAGTTCCAAAGGTTGATTGAACACCACCATGTCAGCTGAAAATGAAGTCTAAGCTTCTCTACACTCTGATGGACCTTGGCCCTCAAGACACTTAGTAGTTGTAAGTAAATCTTCTTTACCCGAAACTGAGACAGAACAGATTATTTTATTGATCATTTCTGATCTCCTTACACGTCCTAAACTTTAAAATTAAAAGTACACACATATAGTGTATTTATTTATTTACAGGCACAGAGAATTCACAGGACTGCCAAACTCCTGACACTTAAAAGCAGTTCCATGCGCATATCTGAGTCCTGAACATGCAAGATGAGTGTCCATTAGATCCCAGATCCATCTATTGGATCACAGGAGACCATGAATAGCACAAGGCTTCCCAAAAAACACACAAGCAAATTCCTTTCTCACTGCTTCTAGTTAAGTATGCACTTCTCTGAATTATTTATTTTAATTTTTAGAGGAGGTGAGCTGCAATGCCTCTGCACAAGTTTTCCCTGCTTCCAGCAAGAACAGTCTCTGAGGGATGAGTACAGGAGACATCCCCTCATTGCCCTGCCCCCCAGAGCCCCATCATCTGAAAAATCTTTGTCTTTCAGTTTCAGCTTGATTTACTGTCCTCCATCTCCTTGAAATTCTGCCCATGAGAAACCAAAATAGCACCTTGCCTTGTGCATGAACCCCAGAGAGTACCGAGCATCGGAACCACTCGATTTCAAGCGCAGGGGAGTGTCAGGGAGACAAAGCTGCAGTGACAGTGGCTCCAGGGGATGACTGTACCATCTCTTAATCCCTCAGCAAAGGTACAAGCAAATGCCACTAACTTCAGTTTTGCTTTCTTCCAAGGAAGTCTTTCTCTTTGGATAACTACCTCTGTTCAAAGGCCTTCTGAGGCTTCAGCATGACTCTGACAATAGAAGAACTTGGGTATCCTTATTTTATATTAAAAATGTCCTGTCCAAACTCTGCAGGCCACTTCTCAAAGTGCTTCTAACACCTGTATAGAAGAAAATTCACACTCATGTTTCCTAGGTAGTTTCTTAACCAAAACACCTACTTCAGTGACATGATCATAACAGGCTCCCTCAATAAGCAACAAAAAGAAATAGATATCAATATCAATTCAAGACAATTCAGACCTTAAATATCTTCTTATTAAAGTATTTCTCTTATGTCTGCTGTTAAGAAAGACAAATTCAGAAACAGAACCCAAGAAATTATATATTTCTTTTGCTAAATTTATTATCAAATCCTGTGCAAGGCAGTGAGCTCATCACAAGGACTCTTTGATTACAATTCTGTGTGCTCACACTTTCTGGAACAGCTCAAAACTTCATAGGACCACAGTCTTGGGGTTCAGCTCTTAAGCATATATTTACTTACAGCTCATAAACAATACTCAAGTAGTCAATAAACCAAAAAGCCCACCAAAATTTCTCATTGTCCTGTATTTCACATTTTATGAATGCATCATTCCTCAGTTCCCTCATTAGCCTTCTCCCTATAGATAGGTGGAAAGGCTTATTGAACTCACAACAGCACTAGATACTGTTTGCGAGACTCAAAATTAACATTTTGAATCACCAGAGAAAGGCTGACTATGACCTGGTATCTCTGGGCTAATTCTCACATATTTCAAACATTGTTAGTAATCTAATGGGTTCTGATTAATATTTTGCCCAATCACTAAGAAGCAATAATTTCTGTCAGATTATCCTGTTTCACTCTGAAAAATTTGAGCTGCCTGAAAAATGTCTTGGGGAAATATTTTCAAGCAGCTTCCCCTGCTCTCTTTCAGGAAAATCACTTACTCTACACACTGACTTTACTACTTTACTACTGTATCTGTAATTAGCAAAGAATGCCAGGCTATAAATATTAATGCACAGATGGGTCCTGAAGTACCTTCAGAAGTTCAGCACAGGCCTCAACAGTCAGATTTTTCAAGTGAGTTTTGATACAAACCCTGCAGGTTCAGGAGGACTTGTCAGAACACCCCTGTCAAAGAGATGCATTTCTCACCCAACAAGGGATATTACAATCACCCATGAAAATCCCACAACAAATGCAGATGCTTCATTACCTACCTCTGATTTGAATTCCACACAGATCTGGCCAGACCCCTTCACTTCATTAGCACAGGTCTTTGCCTGCTGGGGCAAAAAGTCTTCTTCTGTGCTGCTGCTGGCAGTCTGAATGTTTCTGCTTTTTTTAAAAACCTTTTCTGAAGTCAGATCTGTTTTTCTCTCCTGTGAAAACTTTCCTGGTTTTTGATTCTTTCCCAAAAATACTGCTGCTGTAATGCTGGGGCCATGTTAGTAATGTCATCTAAAAATCTTGAGGCTGGTCTGAAATGCCATGTCCAGATTAATTGCCATAACCAGTTAATTCATGGAATCATTAAGGTCGTACAAGATCTATAAGATCACCAAGTCCTATTAATTCAGCACTGCCAAGTCCACTATTAAATCATGTCCCTAAGCACCACAACTACACACTTTGAATACTTCCAACCACAGTGATTCCCTTGGAAGAGAGGAACAAGGCAGCTTGTTCCAATGCTTGACCACTGTTTCAGTAAAGAGATTTTTCCAGCTTTTAGATCCGAACTAAACCTCCCCTGGTGCATCCCGAGGCCGTTTTTTCTTGTCATATAATTTGTTACTTGGAAGAAGAGGCTGACCCCCACCTTGGTACAACCTCCTTTCAGGTGGTTGTACAATGATAAGGTCCTTCCTGGGCCTCCTTTTTCCAGGCCAAACATCCCCCAGCTTCCTCAGATGCTCCTCATCAGACCTGTGCTCAAATAGAAAGGGGTCCTGTTCTCCAGCCGACATCAGTGGGCACAGTTTGTCCACATCAAACCTGATCAGTCTCCAAAACAATGTATCTGCTTCCAAGGCCCTGATGGAGAATGGTGTCTGTGCTGTGGTGTCTGTGGCTGTGCTAACTCCCCTGCTGGGGCCAGGAATTGGCCAAGAGGGTGTTGGTTGTCCTGAGCCAAAGCTGCTCTGGGCTCACTACTCTGCAGCACACAACTGCACCCCCAGTATCCAGTCCTATTTAATTTAAAAACAGTTAATGAGATCATGCAAAACACAGGGTAACATTTCCCAGCCTGATGGGGGAGCAATTAAACGTTGGCTTTTGGCATGGCATGGGCAGGTGAGGTTCCTGTCACACCACCACCAAGGCCTGCTGAGGCACCCAGCTCTGAGGGCCCGACAAGGAGCTCCAGCTGCCCCTGGAGCGGCCGGCAGAGAGGGGACAAGTCTCTCTACCCACCAGGACAGAAGGGCAGCTGCAGGTGGGATCAGGAGGAGCCCACCCAGCACTGACAGCATGAGCTGAACACTGGCAAAGGCTGGCACTGGCCCCTGCAGAACCTCGGGCTGCTGGCAAGCAGGAAGGAGGCAGAGCTGGAGCATCCCAGCAAGGCAGCAAGTGAGGGGGGAAAGGAAATGCTCCACACTGGGAGTTATCTACACTGAAATTAGAGGTGGAAGGGAAAAAGAAGTCCTAGAAGGGCTCTCTGGTGAGCATTAAGTACAAAAATGCTTTGGTCTCAACAGAGCAAAGAGATTTGATAAAGAAATACTTACTAGGCCTGCACTTGTACCACACGAGGAGGTACTTGCCGGTCCCGGGGCAGGGGTCCGTCCCAAAGAGCCGGCTATTGACGAGGAACTGGCAGCTCCGCCTGTCCTGGCACTCATCCAGCATCTTCTGCAGCCGGGGATAGGCACCAGAAACAGAAAAACAAAAGCACTTCAGTGTCCCCGCTAAAGGGAACATCAAACAGACACAACCTGCAGAAAGAGAAGGCCATCCCTGCCTCCACAACCAGCCCTGGCAGGAGGCAGGTGATGGTGCCCGACACAGCGGGTGCCACAGGAGCCACAGACCCAGTGCTCCTTGCACTGTTTTAAGAGCGGGTTTTCATCCCCTTGCATGGGTGCAAAAGGAAGGATTTGCACTGGGATGGTCCCAGAGATTTTGAAACACTTGCATGCTATTTAATCATAAGACAGTACAATCCCAGGAAAAGCAGCTTTGAGGACATGGATCCACCTTGACAGTTAAAAGTAAAGACCTGAACTCTGCCACCACCAATCTGCTTTAGATTTCTCTGGAGATACACAATTTCAAGACAGCTCTTGTCTCAGTTATATAAAAGCTGGTAAATACATAGATATATAAATTGCTGGTATTCCAATAATTAGTAGTTGTGGTGGGAACACTGTTATACAGCCAATTTAGACACTTTTTAATAGGGCTCATTCCTCTTCCTCCATGATTATTACATTCTTTTAGCTAAACTCAGGAAGGGACTGTGAGTCAGGGGCTTCTCCCACTACCGGCATTTTGGGTCCTACCCTCTTTTCTGCTTTTCCTCTAGCACTTGCTCCCCACTCCCCCCATTCATAACACTCACAAAAACTCCATCTCAGAATCCTGAGGGGCAAGACATTCTGTCTCCTGCTAGCAAATAGCTTCATTAAGGAAGATTAATGATTTCTTTTAACCCTCTGATCCTCTAAAGCAATGGTAGGGGGGGGAGAATAATATTGAGTGGGCCAGTAATTAAGTTTTAAATTCAGCTGGATGGCTAGGGTGGTATTTATGTACTCCTGTAGAGCCCCTAAAGCATTAAAATTACCATAATGTTTGCCTGACACACATGAACCTGTCAGAGCATTTTGAGACCACAGAGCGAGGTAATCCACCAGCCTCGTTAAGTCCCTGTGATACAGAGCTGTGAATTCCAGCTCCAAAACAATTAATTTCATTTGCAGGGAGGCACTGGAAAATCCTTCCTCAGAAATTCCCCTAGGCTCCCCTGGTCTCTTTTGTCTTCTCTCTGTTCACTTTTCTTATACCCACCTCGATATTTGGGCTTTCCCACAATCTTCTCCATGTGCCATTAACATAAAGGCTGTTCCTGCTCAACCATGTGCCACCCAAACCAATTTTCTCTCTGCTTCAGTGAGTACTTTCTATTTTTGAGTTCTCCCTGAATGTAATATATAGAATCTTTAGCATTATAACTCTGAATGTCATGCTTTGAACAACAGCTGTTCCAGTTTCAAGAGCAATTTGAAGCTGCCTCATTTGCAGTTGCTCATAACTTCCTACAGCTTTCACCTTTTGGGCTGACACATGCAAGAATTCATGCCTGCCTCAAGTCTGACCTTTATTTTAAAGTTCAAACCAAAACAATCCAGGCCTTTTCTAGCAGGCAGAGAACATATGCTGTTGTTTTCCACTTACAAAGGTAATAAAATGCAGGCATTTCATTTAAAAATACAGGATTTAGGATGGTGAGATGAACACTGAAGGAGGTGCCTGGGAGCATTAGCCCCAGCTTGACCATCACATTAAAATGCATAGAAAGAGCATATTCTTTCCTCTAGGCTCATAAGGGTTGGCTGCTCACTCATCATGTGAAATCTAAATTAATGCAAAATCCAGTGAGTTGCAAAGGAATTTAAGCAATGGTTCCAGCACAGATAATTCTTTTCATCTCAAAAAAGCAAAGAAAAACTGAAACAATTCTGGAGGGCTACACATATTGAGAGAAACTCTCTCCAAATCATTGTGCACCTGAAAAGATTTTCTGGTACTGGACAGCCATGCTTACATACAAGTAAAACTAATAATATTGAGCAAGGGAAAAGAAGCAGGACCCCAAATGTTTCCTTTCCCTCTAGGGAAGCTTTCTTCCCTCAAAGGCATCAGACTTGGGTTTTGAACTACAAACCTGTTCACAGCAGACAGGTGGGCATTTCAAGAACCTTCAGCATTGTGTCATGGGTGCTGTTAAAACCACTAGGAAAACCTCTCTGGGTTTCAGCAAGACTGAGTTAGGCCAACAAGAAAACAAGTTTGAAAACCTCAGGTGAGACATTTCTGCAGCACTTGTTCATCTGTCCTCAGGCTCAGCATCAGGAACAAAGACAACAATTCACTGACCTCAGAGAACCATGGACATGGGCAGCCTTCAGGCAGTGCCACTTTGTCTTGGCTCTGCTCTAACTTTTGGCAGCTCTTGCTTATTCCTTGTATTCCACATAAGTGAAACCTCCTGAGTTTACTTCCTGTGGTATGCAAAGGATGGAGGGCAGCAAAAAACAAAGCCTTAGGGAGAAATTTGTAACTAAATTAAAGAGCAAAAGTCATCCCTACCATTGTGAGAGCACAGAAAAAAGTGAAGTTTCCTTGAGTCTCAATATGCCATTTACTAATTTGTTATAGTGTTTAGCTACAGTTCCAATTTAATTTGACAATAGCCGTGATTCTGAAAAGTTTCACGGGGGGAAAGAAATCAGTATTTCCTTTTCATTCATGTAACTCTATTTTACCTCCCCCAAAGGGCAACATTTTTCCTGAAAATCTAAAAAAATCATTAAGACTTCTGATTTCCTGTACACTGTTTGAGTAATGTCTTATGCATAATGAAACATATCCATAACATAAAAAGTAAAATAAATAAATATATATGTTCATCATATATATATTTCCTGAAATACATCAGGAAAAAAATGCAGGGAAAATTACCTCTCATTGACAGTGCATTTTCTTGATTAAAAATAAAAAAAAAACATGTTGTTACACCAGTCTTAATGTTAACTTAAAAATTTGCATGGATAACTTTTACTTATCCTTGCATGCACAGAAATTTTCTTTCCCACTGGTTTCATCAGTATGTGCTATGTACCAGCATCTTAAACACTGTGCAGAGCATGTGTGACCAGATGTCCCCCCAAAGGTACCGTTCCCTGCAGGTCCAAAGGTTCTGGTGTTTACCAGAAGCCAAGACCTTGACTTTCTGGCCTTACTCTCAAAATTCATACATCTAGACAGTATCAGAGCTCTGGCAGATGTCAGATGTTTTTTCTGAAGTATTTGCAGACTGACAGGTAGACTGACACCAGGAAAGTTGAGAGTTCACTTGGTAGTGAGGGAATGTCTTGAGCTCACATGGTTTTTGCTCCATGGATGGAAAAATGTAGGCAATTCATTCCATGTTTTCCTTGTTATTCTGGTTGTAACTGTCAGCTGAAAAGGTGGGAAAACACAACCATAAAACCAGCAAGAAAGAGGCCCACAAACAATCTGGACTTGCACAGGAACAGCAGTAGGCCCACAGAACTGGCCCTAGCTGGGAAGTACAACCAGCTCCACACGTCTCCAAGTCTGGTGGATCCCTGACTAAAGCCAAATAAATTCACCTCAGTTTAGATTATATTATAACAATCACTCCAACTGAGGAAGGTGGAGGAGGAATTCAGGAATTCCTGTCTGGCATGAAAGGGGAGGGAAGACACATTAATTGCACTGTGCCATTTTATAATTGCGTTACAGTGGTAAATCAGGCCTGAGGGCTGACAGCCAGCACTCAGGAGGGAAACTGTGGCTGTTTAAACCCATTCCACTCCCTGGTTCATGACTAAGCTAAGAAGCTGCAAGATTTAGAGGAGATAAGAGAGCAAGAAAAGTGAATTCAAGTAAAACAAACACTAATCTAACCCCTGTGATTTATGCCCTGGATTAATCTCCCTGCAGTGACCTGGGTCTTAAAGCAAGGGCAGCCTCAAGCTCAAAATCATGTCTTTCAAGTAGCCACTGCAGATGAAACAGCATTCTCGTGCTCATTTTGCTGTGCTCATTAGCTAAGTAATTGCTTGTGCTCATTAGATAACGACCTTTTAAATGAGGAGCTGGATGTGAGCTCTGCAAGGAGGCCATCCCCAGCCATTCCCAGGGGTGTGCTCGTTTTTAGCCTGTCTCTTCAAATCACTCTTCAAGAAGTGCTTCCCCTGCATGCTTAAAATAAACCACAACTGAGTTTAACACTCAAGGCAATTAAACTTATCTCAGTTCTTGGTCCCTCAGAGCAGTTCAGAGATCCAACACACTTAGGGTGTAACTTTGGGCCCATAGAAGCCAGTGGTGAAACTCAAAGGGAACGAGGGCTTTGCCACAAGGCTGCTCTCTGTACAGCCTCCATCTTCAAAGGACCATAAGGATGACTGCAGGGCATGTCAGCCATGCATGAAATTACACAGAGGAGCCCTACTAAATAATTGCCCAAATAGTGTGTTGCTGGGGAGAGTAACTCACAGAGCAAGCTGCATGAATGTATCAAAACCATGTGCAGGCAAAGGAAGATGCATATAGCTCTGTTAAGAAACTTATGCAAGAAGATACCAGTAATTTTAAGTATTTTTAGGTGAAATTCAGTCCAGGCATGGACATTATGGTGGAGTTGCACCAACACTTATATTGGTGCACCTTCAGAGTTTTTGCAATGGGAAATAAATATAACAAACAAGTTAGCATGAACTCTCCCTACAGCCCAATACATTCATAATGGCTTCATGTCACATTTCATTTGAATTTTGATACTCTTTTATGTACCCTTAAACACTGGCAATACTTTAAAGCATGCTATAAACTTAGTGCTTTCAAGTTGTTCAAGTTGAAAACTTATTTACAGTCCTGTTGCTGAACACTGAACATTCATCTCCATTCATGCAAATTACTGAAGTCCATGGAGGAAGAAGATTTTCCAAGAATCAGCAACAGGGAAGCACAGACTACATAAGGAAGTGAAATCCATGTTGATGAGGTGCAGGTGACCTGCCTATGGTTTCATTGAGCCACCTTCCCAGCCTGCTCCACTAGAAACTAGTTCAGCTTTGCCCAAATTACTGTATTCCATC